GATGGCTGTGAAAGTTGGACCATAAGAAAGACCGAGAGCCAAAGAATGGAGGCCTTTGAACTCTGGTGCTGGAGAAGATTCCTGTGAGTCCCTTGGACTGCAAGGCAATCAAACCGGTCAGTCCTAGAGGAGATCAACCCGGACTGCTTTTTAGAAGGCCAGATCCTGAAGAGGAAACTCAAATTCTTTGGCTACCTAACGAGAAGGAAGGACTCACTGGGGAAGAGGCTAATGCTGGGAAAGATGGAGGGGAAAAGAAGAAAGGGACGACAAAGAATGATGTGGCTGGATGGAGTCACCAGAGCAGTAGGCATGAGCTTAAATGGACTCCGGGGGATGGTAGAGGACAGGAAGGCCTGGAGGAACGTTGTCCAGGGGGTCGCGATGGGTCGGACACAACTCCGCAACCAACAGCAACACCTACTGAGAGGTAGCCCCAAGGTCCATCCCCTCTATCATTGCTAGGCTGCATCTCTTGTGAACAATTCTTCAGCCATTCTCATCCTTTTGGGTGGAGAAGAAATCGTTTGCACTGTTTGTCCAAAAGGAAAACAAGATTTTTACAAGATGTTCGTGCATTTAGGATGCCAAGCCCACAATCCCAGAGACAAAATCCTGCCTTTCTTTCCAGAGATTTTCAACTTTCCTGACTGCAAACACCTGTTCCACTCCAGAGCAAGATTCTATAAAGGGATTCCTTCCAGAGGAACTTTCAGAGGCGACAGATTGTAAGCGAACCAAAACACAGTAATCGCACCTTTATTGCCTCACCGTTGTTGAGTAACCGCAAAGTCATCATGAAATAAAGAAATTTGAAAGCCACCCAGAGAATGAGAACAAATAGAAGTCTCTGAAACTACAGTTGGTCCTCTACTTATGACGATCGAGTCCAAAAGTTCTGTTGCTAAGTGAGACAGTTAAATGAATTTGCCCCATTTTACTGCCTTCCTGGCTACAGTTGTTCAGTGAATCACAACAATTGTTAAGTTAGCAACATGGTTGTTCAGCGAATCTGCTTCTCCATTGACTTGGCTTGTTAGAAGGTCACAAAAGGTGATGATGTGACACACACACACACACACACCAAGACATTGCAACCGTCCCAAATATGACTCAGTTGCCAAGTGTCTGAATTTCGATCGTGTGACTATGGAGAAGCTGCAACCGTCGTAAGTGGGGAAAATAGTTGCGTCATTTTTTCCAGCGTTGTAACCATTTGAATGTCACTAAGTGAACTGTTGTAAGTCAAGGACTACCTGTACTCAGATCAGCAGGCTGTATCTAGAAACTTTTCAAAGCTTTACTGTAAATGCAAGCATCACACTTGATTTCCCAGCAAGGTCGGGAATTCACTCTGCACCAGAGTGCCAGAAATCCGATGACCAGCTGGGCAGCCCACCTTGGAAACCCAACAACCAGCTGGCTGAGCTGGGGCAAGAGTGCGCGTGCCACACAGAGGGCTCTGTGCACCACCTCTGCCACACGTACCATAGGTTCGCCATCACAGACATAGGACTTTGCACTTTTAATTGTATTAACACCATTATAATATTACATGCACACAGCCACTTCTTGAGTAAGATACTAGCTTGGGGAGGAATCATGTACTGTTATGACTATGCTAGAGGAATTTCTGACATCACCATGGGGAAAAATGTTGTTTACCTGAGATGTCAAAGAACTGCTGGGAAAGAGAGTTAAAATCACTCCCCCAAAATTATTGTTTAGAAGCTTTGGTCATTGATCAAAGAGGTTCATAGGCCCCCTACACCCTACCCTGCACAGTATCCTGAAGTTCATGAATGAAGGCAGGTACAGTGTTTTCCCTGAAAATAGAACCTACTCTGAAAATAAGACCTAGCCCAATTTTCCACACGTGCCTAATATAAGCTGTACCCCAAAATAAACCCTAGTGAGGGAGGGCGTGATCAGCATAGGAGGCAGCGAGTGTACATGGGCCGATGCTGTCTTACACAGGTGACTTGAATACAGTGGGGGGTTCCGGATCCCATTCCAACTAGTACGGTTGGAATGGGCCTGGCGTCGGCCACATGGATGTGTGTGGGGTGCGCGCGCATGCACGTGGTACATGCATGTGTCCTACCTGCCTGCGATGCCTCCACAAGCCTCTGTGATGCTCCAGCTGCTCGGCAGAGTGTCGCGCAGGCACCATATGCGCCATGTGCATGCGCGGAAGCGCCAAAGGCTTAAAGGACAGGTAAGGAGCTCGGGTAGGCAGGTGGGCCCTCCGGAGCACCGTACTGGAACGGTATCCGGTGCTCCGGACAGGCTCCGGTACGCTCGTACCGGGGCGTACCGCCTGCAACCCACCAATGGTTGAGTATCTGTGCCAGCAGCAGGCAAAAGCAGAGGCAGGGGTGAGACAGGTGGGTGGCTGGGGGAGGCTCATCTTTGCATGGTGATACCAGCAGCAGACAGAGGCAGACATGCGGGGGTTCAGGCGATCTGGGCGTGCCACGTGGGCCGCATGAAAGCCAAGCAATGGTGGGCCAGAGTGGCAAGCGGCTATAGAAGACTCATCTTCGCATCTCTCGGCTTGCCTGCAGCCCGCACGACATGTTGGGATCTCCTGCTTTCTGCTCCGTGACTTCCACTTCCACTCTGCGCAGCCACCGAGTGTGCTGACTAAGGGACTGGCAGGCTGCAGCTGCTGCTGGATACTATCCACTCCCCACGCTTGCTGGCTCTTGTATGCATGGGCAGGGGGTTGGACTAGAAGACCTCCAAGGTGCCTTCCAACTCTGCTATTGTATTGTATTGTATTGCATGCCGGGGGTGGGGTGCCCAGCCAGTCTGACCACCCTGAAATAATGTTTCTCCCAAAATAAGTCCTAGTGCTTATTTGGAGGCCCGGAAGAAAATAAGACCGGGTCTTATTTTAAGAGAAACATGATATACTGTATATGTCCCAGGATAATGTTTACAGGATCCAATCTGGGCCGGTCAATAGAACCAGAGGTTTAATCTTCCGAACTTTCAGACACGTGCTGGAGCCCATCATTTCGGTAGAGAGAAGTTCCCCGAGGATGAGCTCCAGCCAAAGTCTGAAAGCTAAGAAGACCTCTGGTCCCAGTAACTGACCCAGATTGGATCCTGCATTCAAAAGGTAAAGGGTGGAGTGGGGTGGGGGAGGTCAACCTCATTTCCAAAGCACTAGAAACCGAGACAAGAAACAACGAATGGAAACTAATCAAGGAGAGACGCAACCTAGAACCAAGGAGAAATTTCCCAACACTGAGAACAATTCACCAGTGGAATGCCTTGCCTTCGGAAATTGTGGGTGCTCCATCACTGAAGCAACTGGACAACCACTGGTCTGGACTGGTAAATGGCCTCCTGCTCAAGCAGGGAGGTTGGATTAGAAGACCTCCAAGATCCCTTCCAACTCGATTGTCCTATTCTATTCTAAGTTTTCCTGTCCTTGGCTTCTCTAATTCTGCTTAATTAATTAACTCCCATGTGATTTAGCCATTTTTTCACTTTCAATCGCACTGAAACACCCTACTCTACCCTGATCCAGTGTGATTTGCGATCCCCTTCTCTTCTATACAAAGGAGTTACAATAAGGTTTTCCCCACCCAAGTGAAAGTTCAAGACCCTGGCCAGCAGCCACACATGGGGTCCATCACTGGGCCCAAACAGGCACCGTCCCAACTGGAGATGCCTCCCAGTCACACCACTCCATCTGCAGGGGCAAGGTGTCCTTGAATCTCTGAGAAAAGAATGTTATTTTTACTATATATCTCCCATACACCACATAACCACCCCTCCCATTTTCCCACAGTAGAAAATATGACAGGCCTGAAGGCCCCAAATGTAAAAAGTGGGCTTCCAGGTCTGACACTGGTCCCAATAACCAACCCAGATTGGCTCCTGCATTCAGAAGTTGAGGGGGTTAACAACCTCATTTCCAAAGCACTAGAAAGCAAGACAAGAAACGATGGGTGGAAACTAATCAAGGAGAGCCGCAACCTAATACTAAGGAGAAAATTCCCAACAGTGAGAACAATTAATTGCCTTCAGAAGATACGGGTGCTCCATCACTGAAGAGACTGGAGAACCACTTGTCCGGAATGGTAAATAGCCTCCTGCTCGAGCAGGGGGTTGGACTAGAAGACCTCCAAGATCTTCCAACTCTGTTTATCTGATTCTATTCTAAGTTCTCCTGTGCTTGGCTTCTCTATAAATAAACGCAACTCAACTCAACTCAACTCTAATTCTGCTCAATTAATTAGCTCTGATTCAGCCACTTCTCACTTTCAATCACACTGAATCTCCCCACCTGCCAATCCAGTATGATACCTGATCCCCTACTCTTCTATACAAAGGAATACAGTAAGAAATCCTGCCCAATTTAATAAAATGGGATTGCAAGAAAACCTGCCAAATCAAGACACTTACACCCAGCTTGGTGATGCCAAGGCAGGATCTTCAGCCAGCTGCTCATCCTTCATTTCTCACCCTTTGGCCTCCTGTGTCTGCTGGCAGCTGCTTTAAACCACAGGTAGGGTGAGAAAAGGCCAAAGCTTACCTTGGCGGGGGTTTTACCTGCTCTACCAGGAAATAAGTGTTGATTGGAGAACAGAATTGTTGAGGCTTCTCTTGTAACAGATTGCCGGGAAACCTATCCTTCAAACAGTGCCCTTGCCATGACAGGTGATTTCCTCGCATTTCAAGGAAATTGCAGAAGGCACGCCTCAGTGTTCCCAAAGGTAACCAGACACCTTTTGCACAGCCTGTTCTTAAAGTACTTGACAACACACCTGGGAGTGTGAGCAGTAGTGACACTATTCATGGCAGGTGGTAGAGAAAAAAATAATATCCTGCTTACTTTTCATTTAATTTTATGAAAGAGTCTCTGGAAAGCTTTTCAGTAAAATTCTCAAGAGTGGGTCTATTTGAGGGAGAGGTGGAAGGCAAAATCCATTTGTGAATACCCTACTCCTTTAATGTGTAATGATCCCTCCATTCTTACATCTTAATTTCATTTGAATCTAATTTAAAACACTTACATCTCAAGGGGAAATATCTGGAAGAAATTTACCCACAAAACTGTCTATCCCCTTGAAAAATGTTGCTTAATTTCTCCTTCTCTTGGTGATTTATATTCAGAAGAAGAAAAAAAATCCACTCAGTTTTTAACTCCCCACTTACAATTTCAGAGAGGCATTTGTAAGTAGGCCTAATTGTTATTACAGCAATTCTTGCCTTCCTTCAATGGTATTTAAATACGGTTGTCTGAATGCAAGAAAAATACCCGTTGGGGAATCTATTAAAAGGATTTCTAATTTTATATCAGATTGCTTCATCTGTTTGCAGTTTTCTACAGCCAGGAAAAAAAAATGTTGCATAAAGTTTGGTTATATTTGCAAAATGCACTGAACCAGCAACATTTGAATCTGGCGTGTCTCTGCCAACCCATCCCACATGCTGATTTGTATGATCTCTGCCCCCTTTCCCCCAGCTGCATTTTCGCTGGCAGAGAGCTGCAGGAGGCCTGGGATGCAGGGGTGGGTTGCTGACGGCATTACTGCCAGTTCACTCCACGTATATGTGCAGTTGCCCAAAAATAGCTTTGCGCATGCACAGAACCTTAAAAAAGAAAAAAAAAACATGTTGCCCCTGGAGAACCGATTTGGAGGCGTGGCAGGCCTGGGTCATTGCCGGTTCCAGTGACCCAGGCCGCCAAACCACTACCGGTTTGCCCGGTAGTGGTTAGGAACCAGTGGTGGGTTCCGGATCCTATTGCAACCGGTACGCTGCAATGAGGCCAGGCGTCCACCATGTGCATGCATGCAGCACGTGTGCAGTGTGTACATGTGTTCCCATCACCTGCGATGCTCCAGCTGCTCGGCGGAGCGTCGCGCAGGCGCCATACACTCTGTCCGCATGCGTGAATGCCCCAATCGGTTCAAATAGAGGTAAGGAGGGCGGGCGGGCAGGTGAGCCCTCCAGAGTACCGTACTGGAACGGTACCTGTTGCTCCCAGCAGGCACTGGTACGCCCGTACTGGGGCGTACTGGTCATATCCCATCACTGGTAGGAACCCACCTCTGCTGGGATGGCTGCACATGGCTCTCCCAAGCTCCGTTTGTTCTGGCAGAGGCACCGTGGGATGGTCTTTCGCTGTTTCCAGGGCAGCCCCTCGGGCCAGATCTAAGCAACCCATGGGCAGGATTTGGCCTGCGGGGCTTGAGTTTGACATCCCTGCTTTAACTGATTCAGATCAAATGTCACACAAACAAAATGCCTTATAGAGTGCTTATGTTGCCAGTTGCCACTTGTGCAATATGTACTATCATTATGTGCTTTTTGAGGCCTGGTTTTCATTTCCTTCTTGCTATTGCATGATCCTTTCGCCATTTCGTTCCACTTTTATTCATAGCCAGTTGTCTGTCTTTCAGCATTTTCCTCCTGCCCTCATTCCTGGCCTTTGAAAAGGTAGGCTGAATTGGGCAACAGGAACATGGCATTGTTTTTAGGTCTTGCCCTAGGCATCATTCTTTTTTTTTTT